GGCCCATGCCACGCCACTCCCCAAGCAAGGACAGGGAAGGGGTAGAGGAGGCAAAGGGTGTTGGCATGAGACACAGCACTGCCCTGGGAGCCCCTGGACAAGGGCAGACAAATGAGATTAAAATAGGATGGACATCAGTCAATATTCAGCCTCCAGATGGAAGAACATGTACAAGCCTTTGTGGGGTACTCTGGGCATGTTGGGTTGCATGTCTGCTCTCTCCTTAGTCCACTGTTCATAATCCCAGTACCTCAACTACAGGGCTACTCTCTGGAGACTGTGATTGTGTCCCCTGAAGTCATCAGTGTCTCCTGAGGTTATCATTGCCTACCCTCACCCCTTGGACTCCCCAGGCTAAAGAGTCACTTCTTTCATTTCCCTCCTCAGGAAAGGAGCCCTATCCCCTCATTTTAAGCTACAGATTCCTTCAGCTTAAAACCCATCTCCCTCTTTCTGAACACTATACCTCTATTAATGAGACTTGAGACTAGCCCCAAAAGGCAAAGGTTCCAGGACATGGTAAAATCTGCTGAGCTACCTAACCCCAGGCTGTGACCTCTCCTGATCCTGGATCCTGGTCCTTACTATCCTGATGCCTCTACTTCCCTCTTAGGGGTTGTGGGCACCTACCGTCCCTGGGCCGAGGAGTGGGAACCCGGGTGGTCTCAGAACCATCCTGCTGGACTTGCAGTCCTAGCTCCTCTGGGCCTGGCTCATCAAGGACAAAGAAAAAGAGGTGGCTGTCACATTGGGGAACATGTTCCTTGAGGACAAGTCACCTCCTACCCTCGCAAGGGAAGCCTGACCTAGGGACAACGAACTTTACTGGACCCCGAAGAAGGCCCCCCGACCCCCTGTATCAGAAATGGTGATTGTACTTTTTTCACCCTGGGGCCCAAAGCAGAATCCTTTGTAGCCTACCCTTTGTGGCCAAGGCTACTAGGCCCCGGGGTTACCAAACTAGGGCGAATATATCAATTCCCCAAACAAGCAACGAACAGCATTTTAAAATGTGTAAGACTCTGGAAACACCCCTATCTTATTGATTCCTTCCAAACGGCATGGGGCTTGCTTCCAAAAGCTGATCAACTCTCCGTTTGTTAGAGCTTTGGGGGTCCTTGGCTCAGCAGAGCAGTAACACCCCAGCCCTGCCCTTGACAGGCTTTCTGAATTCATCCCGGGTCTCGGTCTCTCACGCCCCGCCCCTCACTGCGGCAGAACGCGGGCCCGGCCCCACCCCACACTCTCACTGCAGAAGGCTCCTTCCGGCGCCGCCCGTGCAGCGCAGCGGCCGTGCGCCACGGCGGGCTCCGCCTCTCTGCGGATGCGCGTCCTCTCCGCCCCGCCA